GCAGGGCATGTGTGCAATGGTTTATTTTTATTTATATATATATTTATTTATATTTTTGCGTCTGCTTGTGATATTGGGAGTCAAACCAACACTGTGTGACTAGATAGATATTTAGATAGAGATACTGTATTTGCATTGAGGGAACTAATTCAGAAATTGCTTTAAAGAAAAAAACTACACATTTCATTAACTACAAATTACCTGTATTTTTTATTTAACCACAACCTACCTGTGGTTGTAATCAACTACAAATCACATGTGGTAGTACAATAATTAACCACCTCGTAATAATCAACTCCTGGTCACTTGTGTCAGTTCACTACAGCTCACCCCTGGTAGTACATTTAATTAAACGTAGCTCATCTATGGTAGATTTTAACCACATTTCACATGAGTTAATACGTAGCTACAGTTCACCTGTGTAAATCACTGGATCTAACGTGTAAATGCCTCTCCTTTCAGCAGAACGAGAAGGACACGCGACCCTTCGCCATCAAGCCTATCCCCAACGCCAACATCAAACCCCTGATCGTGTTCATCAATCCAAAGAGTGGTGGCAACCAGGGCGCCAAGCTGATGCAGAAGTTCCAGTGGCTCCTTAACCCTAGGCAGGTCTTTGATCTGACCCAGGGAGGACCTAAAGCAGGGTAAGTCTTAGGTGTGTGTATGTCTCTCTCTCTCTCTCTCTCTCTCTCTCTCTCTCTCTCTCTCTCTCTCTCTCTCTCTCTCTCTCTCTCTCTCTCTCTCTCTCTCTCTCTCTCTCTCTCTCTCTCTCTCTCTCTCTCTCTCTCTCTCTCTCTCTCTCTCTCTCTCTCTCTCTCTCTCGTTTGGGAAGGTATGGTGGTCGAGAGAGGATAGGACTCCTACTATAAATAGGGTAAGTTTTATTTGTTGTCTTTTACTCGCAGGAGGTGCAAGTTTTTGTCACTAGACACAAAATTTAAAATTTAAATATATCACATCGTGAATTGTGCCCAAGGTAAAGAAAGTTCCCTCCTCGAGCTAACCACTGGTGTCAATGACACCGTACCACAGGTAAAATTACGCAGAGCGCAAGAACGTATACGACGAGACATACTGTACAATACATACAGTAGGTTTAGTGGTTCAGAGTAGTGGCTGATACAGGCTACATTATTCTTATAGTGAGTCATTATTTCTTATAAAAATGCACAGGAGGAAACATTATGCCACATATAACATTCCTGTATTTACTGTATACTATGTCTAGAAGTAGGTGGCAAAAAAAAAAACAATATTTAGGCAGGAAACAAAGATATAATATACCTGCAGGTAAGGGCTAAAAAAATATTTTATCTCGAAGCAGGTAACCAAAATGAACATTATATTTACAGCCAGGAGATGGACTCAACCACAACTTGTCAATTACTCTCGTGTTTCAGGTTAGAGATGTTCCGGAAAGTGTCCAACCTGAGAGTGCTGGCGTGTGGCGGGGACGGCACCGTGGGGTGGGTCCTGTCCGTCCTCGACCAGCTCAACTTCCAACCTCCCCCCGCCGTAGCCGTCCTGCCCCTCGGCACCGGGAATGATCTTGCCCGTGCCCTTGGCTGGGGAGGCGGGTATGTACAATACCTGGTGGGAGTTATTGGGGAGGGGGGAATGGCTGAGGGGTACATATCAGGAAGTGACAGGGAGGTGTTTAAATCAGGGAATGAGGGGAAATGACGGTGAAAAGGTACATATCTCAGGAGTTGATGGAAGATATGGGAGGTACAGTGTAAATGTACAGATGACTGCAAAGTTTCATAGTTGCCACATCTTAGAACACGCCAGTGTATTCGTCTGTACATCCAGGGTAAAAGGGAAGATAATAAAAAAAACACCAAATACCTGTATAAGAAAGCCAACTTTTGACTCTTATGTTGAGACAGACAGCCAAACCCGCTAATGTCACTGCCTCCACCCCCCACAGGTACACAGACGAACCCATCAGCAAGATCCTGTGTAACATCGCCGACGGGGAGGTAGTTCACTTGGACCGCTGGCGTGTGGACGTTGTTAAGAATGAGGAGTATGAGCCCACAGAGGAAGGCAGGGACACCCTACCCCTCAGTGTTGTCAATAACTACTTCTCTTTCGGTGTCGACGCCCACATTGCCCTCGAGTTCCATGAGGCCAGAGGTGAGAGGTCCTGTGTAAGGCAGTTTACTTAGTGTATTTGGCAATGTACTTAACTTGTTTGTGGAACCGTAGAATTTATTTGGTGGAGTGTAGGGTATTATTTCAGTGGATTTGGTAGTGTAGTTAAATGTTTCACGGTGCATTATTTGGTAGTGTGTAGTTAATTTGTCCTATACTGTATTGGTCATGTACCAGTAGTTAATTACTGTATTTGATTGAATGTAGGTCATTTGTAGATCAGTTTGCTTTGTTGTGTTGAGATTTAGATGTATTTGGTAGAATGATATCAATGTTCTGAATGTATTGGTAGAAAGTGTTATGAATGTATTGGGTAGTGTAGTAATGTTTTGGTGATTGAATGTTGTATTTGACAATAGAATGTTGTGATTTGTTCATGTTTTGTTTGAATGTTGTAGGAGTATCGAAATATTAATGTTGTCTAGCACTCAGGATGGAAGGAAACTCTAATGTGGTTTTCTTGTATAATATATAAGTTATATGAAGACAGTCTGGTGCTGGAGATGCCGTGTGGTGGGGAGCTGCTCAGTAGAAGACGTTCGGTGAGTAGCGTGTTGAAGGAGGTAGATGTGCAGGAGCTTCGTTAGAGAAGATGTTGCCTGTTGCTGGCCTCCTGGTTGAATAAATGTTAACAGCTAGGAGCTTGCTGGAGGAGGTGTTGCTTGTTCAGGAAAATGGGCAGAATGAGAGTTGGTTGGTGAGGAAGCTCAGAGAAGGACAGCTGGTGGGTCGCCATGCTCGCTGGCGGGAGCGAGGACCGCCAGGCAGGCGAGGAGAGCTAAGGCAGCCAGGCAGCGGCGGAGGAGGAGGTGTTGCTTGTTCAAGAAGAATGGTCAGAATGAATCTCAATGGAGAGACAGAGCTTATATACCCAGCAGCCGCTATGAGTCATGTTGGGAAAACCCGAGAAGTCGCCGGTCTTTTGGCTCGGTTGCTAGGATACGGCGGCATTGGAATGCGGATGCGCTTGGTTGCTAGGGAAGACGGTAGCAGGTGGTGTGCAGCTACGCAGTTTGTAGGGGAGACGTCCACTACAATGTTGTTGATATTGATAATGAAACGGTTTACTTATCCATTATATACAGAGTGGACGATAACAATATTGACATGGCTGAGCCAATTGAGAGCCTGAGCTCTCTTAGTGGCACCTGATATATACTGACCATTTATCACAATGAATTATTATTTAACATTTACAATAGAATCATCTGGATTCGTGCACGTAACATGGTTTTAGTAAATATTGTACATTTGAGAATATTACCACAATTATCACTTTTCTATTTTTTTCATTTATTTATTTTTGCATTTATATTATAATTATATACAGGTACATATTTTACAGTGAAGTTGATATACAGTAATCTGAAAAGTGAAGGAAGCAATACAACATGGGTTCTGTTAGGGGGAAACAAGGAGACAGTCAGGATCATGTTACTCGATTAACTAAGGAATAGGATGCAGCAAGCTGTATTACTATATCCCTTTTTTTTTTAGTAATAAATATTTAAAACTGGAAAGAGACTTTCGGGACACCCTGTATAATTATTGCAATAGTAATTTCTATCTACTTAACGATATATGATATAATGGTTTTGGTGGTACATTAAAAGTAAGAGTATAAAGTAAGTATTACAAAAATATTAATACTTAGACAATAGATGCCTGGGGTAAGTTGTTCCACACTTTCACACCATCGTGACCACCATTGTTGTTCTTAATACGGAGATCTGGGACTGAGAGGAACGCATGGGGGTGGTATTAGTAGATCTGGGTGTTATAATGAAGTTATACCACGAAATTTCCCCATGTTCCAATGATGAATCGTACATATTTTTCTTTTTTTTAGCCAAAAACGCTTCTTGCATAACAACCATGGGAGTACTACAGCATGGTATACACCACGGCTGATCTTGCATTTGGGCCTGAGTGACCAGAGGTTGTGTTTTAGTGGAGCCGGAGGCCCCATAGTGTATGGCAGTGTATCAAGTGGTGATAAATATGGTCAAAATAGATTTCTTTCATTGCTGCAAGCGGGATACAGGGTATATTACTGTTTATCGATTTTACTGTGAATGGCTTGTATGTGGTTTCTCCAGTTTAGTTTATCAACAAAAACAACCACCACCCAAGGAATTTGGGGTAATTTTTGAGAACAGTACTACCACCAGAAGGCGTTGTTCGATTTTGTTCATATGGCACTAAAATGATGTCTGTACGTGCTTAGTATGCGAAGAAATTAATTATTTAGCGTAAATGCTACTCCAAAAATTCTGCAGTCACCTCATGTTGTCTGTTACAACCGACCCCCTCAGTCTGGGAGTACTCAGGTCCACAAAACTAAGTAATATTACACCATGACACTTCAACAAAGTTGCTTTCACTGGTCCCAGATATAAAAGGGTAGTTTTTCACTTGTTGCCACCGAACTAATCTTGGTAATTTTATGGTTGCAATCAGTAGTTTTGACAATTTTAAGACTGGTGAAATTTCAATCATGCACCGGTCTTTCTCTCGCTGTTATTAATGTGTTTTTCGTAATGTTTAGACAATTCTAAGACCCCTTTCTTCTGTGATAGTTCCGCTGGAAATTAAGGATAACTGAGATATTAAATTTTCAATATTATCGTGGTGAAGTTTACCTCCGAGATTATTATAAGATATTGGCCGGTAGGGTTAAGACCGAGATAAGAAAAGCAAAGAGGACTAATGAACTGAAGGTTGCAAGGGAGGCGAAATCAAACCCCAAGGGATTCTATCAAATGTATCAAACTAAAACATGAGAAAAGATTGGACCAATACAGTCAGATACCGGTGAGCTAACTGATAACGACAGAAAAATGAGCAATAATCTGAATAAATATTTTTCAACAGTATGCCCTTAGCAAAGTTGTTTAACATGTCCTTAAAAATGGGTGTAGTACCAGAATCCTGGAGGATAGCGAATGTAATACAGATTTTCAAGAAGGGAGATAGATCACTATCCTCTCACTACCATCCAATCAGTTTAACACCAATTGTAGGCAAATTATTGGAAGCAATCATTTCAAACTATTTGAAATCACCTGAAGAAGCACAAGTTGATCAATGATTCCCAACGTGGCTTCACAAGCGAGCGTTCATGTCTAACTAATCTATTAACATTCTTTTCATCTGTTTTCGAATCAGTGGACGAGGGGCACAATTATGATGTGGTATATTTCGACTTTAGCAAAGCCTTCGACAGAGTCTCCCATGAAAGACTAATAAGAAATGTGGAGGCTCATGGCATTAAAGGCGATATTCTAAAATGGTTGAGGGCGTGATTTCAGGACAGGAAACAGCGAGTGAGCATTAATGGCACTAAATCCGATTGGAGCAACGTCACTAGAGGAGTTCCCCAAGGCTCAGTACTTGGACCATTATTATTTATTATATACAAAACAACATAGATATCGGCGTAGACAGCAACATAAGTAAATTTGCTGATGACACTAAATTGGCGTGTAATTAAATCTGACGAGGATTCCGCAAAACTACAGGTAGATCTAAACAAATTTTTTGAATGGTCTGAAAAATGGTAAATGAAATTCAATGTGGACAAATGTAAAGTACTCAGTATAGGAGATGTAAACAAGGAAACCAATCGTATGTGGCAGTACACACCCAGAATATAGAACGACTGTGGAGATCCCCCGGTTAGGTTAGGTTCAAAACTGTTTTCCTCATGCTTTTCCATGCGTTTTGAACACTTTTAACTGTGATTTTTATAGCAATTCTCTAGATTCTGAGATAAGGGGGGGGGGGGTTTATCTCAGAAATTATTGATTTACACCAGAAATTAAGTAAAATTAGTTCATAACATCAAAACCATCGGAAAAACATAGTTTCAACTTTGATTTCGTATAGTAGCAACAAGTGAAAATTTACCTTATTAAGTAGATTGTATAGGATACTTATTAATATATTTGAGAGATGTTTAGTTTGTTTTAATGTTTTATGTTGATTGATTTTTTTTATTGTGGATGAAATCAGTAAAGTTGACATGGGGTAATTGAAGCACTAAGTAGAATTATATTAATTTAAGGACTTTTTAATAAATTTTGTAAAATTTGGATTGATATAGTTTAGTTGATTATTCACTGTATACTGTATAGTAGTGTTTTTCCAGAATATATGGTACAAAAGCACTGCAATCACTGTGTCAGTCAGACTCTGCATCTACCCCAGTTATGATTTGACTCCAGCTGTGATGCATTAATCCCATCTGAATTGTTTCTATATATGAGTCCAAGGGTTGCTATGGCCACTGTTTTGCTTATACCTGTATGTGTATTTGTATTGTGTGTGTGACATAGCTAAACTCTTCTACAGTGTCTCTTTTATTTATCAACCACAACCACCTTCTGTACCCTTATTTACCCACATCACTCAACCTCCCCGTTTACCCACATCACTCAACCCTCACCACTATCTACCATACTCAACCCACCCTCATTCACCCACCTACCCCGGCCTGCCTTCACCCACCTCACTCAATGTATACCTTCATTCACCCACCTCACTCAATGTATACCTTCATTCACCCATCTCACTCACACCCATGATCTCTTATGCTACAGAGGCCAACCCTCAGAAGTTCAACTCTCGGTTAAGGAACAAGATGTTCTATGGTCAGGCTGGAGGCAAGGATCTTTTACAACGCAAGTGGAAAGATCTTTCAGACAACTGCACGCTGGAGTGTGATGGCAAGGACATGACACCCATCTTGAAGGAGAATAAGGTCCATGCTGTCGTCTTCCTCAACATTCCTAGGTAGAGGTTTAAAAGCAGTACTTTGAGCTTGCATAAAAAAACAGTATCCATGCAGGAATTGTTTTTGTGTATTTATGATCTTGGGTACAGTATTGTATAAGAAACCTCCTTATATGCAGTTTTTATACAGGGAAAAAAGTCTTAGACTGTTTTTGCTACTTGGTAGACTTGGTTTGATAATTGAATATAGCCTGACTCAAGCTACATTCTGAATACATACTGTAATTTATTTCTTGCCTCTTTTCATTGTTAATTTCTCGCACCATTTCTTCCCTCCTTACCTCCTTCATCTTGTTTGTACTCCTCTCTCTCTCCTATTTCCTCAACTCTTCTCTACCTAATCCTCATTCTAGATATTGAATTAAAACCATTAGTTGTGACATTTACTCATCCTTAATCCACTGTTTGTTTACAGCTATGGATCAGGTACCCATCCATGGAACCGGAGCAGTGGAGTAGAGCAGCATACAGATGATGGTATCATTGAAGTCATTGGGCTCACCACGTACCAGATGGTGAGTAACAAGCCCTTCAGTCTCCGGTACTCCTGTGTATAAGGTGTCCTCTAATTGTTACAGAGCAACTTTGAGAGGAAATCTTACATGGCTCCTTCAATTGCAACACTAAGGTAGCAGCCTAGACTACTGAGGATTTATACTGAAGCTCTACAATATCTGGAGTGATTTTCAGAGCTGATCCTTTCTGAAGCTGTGTTTTTCTCGAGTTCTAGAGCTACTGAAAGAGATAAACATATGTTATTCCACTTCTAAGACACAAAATATTTTCACCCCAAAAACACTTTTCAACCAAATAATTTACCCAATCAATCAATCAATCAATCTATCTATCTATCTATCTATTTCCTATGCAAGTTTTAAATGAGGAATTTTTTTTTTTTTCTGCAGCCACTGTTACAGGCTGGTGGTCATGGAACAACAATCTGCCAGTGCAAGAGGGCGAGGATCATCACCAAGAAGACTATTCCCATGCAGGTAGATGGAGAGGCAGCGAGGGTCAACCCAAGCATCATAGAGCTCACGCATCTCAACAAGGCCTCAATGGTGACCAAGAAGAAGGCTAAGTCTGTCCCGTGAGTAAAATACAGTGCATGTGCTCACAGGTTGTGGTTATATGTGAAGTGTTGGCTGTCCTTCAGAACCATATGTTGGGTTGATTTACAGCAGTGGTTCCCAAACTGGGAGGTGGACCTCCCTTGGGAGGCATGAGGTTGGTACAGGGGCATAAGACCATGTGAAAGATAGAATCACTTTATTAGGACATTTTCCATAAAATTAGTGCAACTATTTTTTTCTTAGTATGTATACACGTATTTTAATCTTCCCCACATGCATGAGATACAGTGGGGTATGCTATAACGAACGTAATTGGTTCCAGAACCTCGTTCGTTATAGCATTCGTTCGTTATAGGATTAATCCGTTCCAGGCCCCCAAATACAACCACTTAACACTGAAAAAATTCTGTGGAAAATGTAAAAAATACGGTACTTTATCTTACCTTAGTGTTATTCAGCATGCAGGTACCCCTAAACACTGGCACATCACTATCACTTCCACTGGGAGTCTTGGCTTTAAGGTCCTCAAACAATTGTCTGGCCTTCTCACAAATTATAGCTTCACTAATGTTACCACCTGCCATTTCTTTCTCCTTTATCCACACTAAGAGTAAATTTTCCATCTCTTCAATCACATTACACTTTGCTTTGCTAAGTCTAAAGATTCCCTTAGCCACTTGCACAGTTTTTAACTCCTCTTTATTCTTCAAAATCGTACATATAGTCGATTTAGCCATCCCATATTCATCACTAAGTTTCGCAATGCTTCTTCCATTCTCACGTTTCTTTACAATTTCTTTCTTAGTTTCAAGGGTTATTAGCTTTCTCACTCGCTTTGGACGACTCATTGTTACAATTGTATACTTGTATAACAAAATAGTTATACAAATAACGCGAATTTCACACATCAAAAGACGAAATTTCAACAATAACAGTGGTGCACTGGCTACACAATGAGACAAAGATGGCGCCTGACGCTCTTGTTGTGGGTCGCGGTACAACAATATTCATGCGCCAGGTGAAATAGTCCCGTATTCATCCGCGTTCGTTGTAGGAGTTGCGTTCGTTATAGCATTCTCAATTTTATAGGTAAAACCGTTCGTTATAGGAATATTCGTAGTAGGATCCGTTCGTTATAGCATACCCCACTGTACATGGATTACGAATTAGTTGATCTTGAAAGTAATATACTATACTGTACTTAAATATGATAACAAGGTGTAAAGTTAATTAAACTTATTTTTAAAAATGGTGGTGGGGGCATGAGGTTTTGGTAAAAACCAAAAAGGCTTCATGTGAAAGGGTTTGGGAACCACTAATTTAGAGTGTGTGCTCGTGCTTTTCACTCTGACTCATTCTTATGACTTTTAAAATTATAGATTAAATATATTTCCCATTATTACTTTGTAAATTACTATACACGGCTACAGAATTGTAAAATTAACACATTGATAAAATCTAAAACATTTGATTATCTAAAACCTCATACCAGTGCAACTTATTAAACCAATGTTATAAAACCGATAACTAATCATAATCTACATCTATATGTCAACAATTTATTATAGAACTTGTCCTTTACAAAATTCCAGTTTACAAATATATGCCGGGTATTCCTGATCAAGTTTTGTTGCACCAACTTCAATCTTGACCTATTTGTGTGTTCTTGCAGGATGCCACATCTAGAACAGCTCCGCCTCCAGGTATTGAGGATCACCATGTTTGACTATGAGCAGCATCATTATGACAAGGAGAAGCTGCGTAGTGCCTCCTCCCCGATTGGCCTCATCATGATAGATCAAGATGCAGATCTCGAACAGGTAAGATGAGCATGGCATTAGATAAGTTATAGTAAATATGAAAAATGTAGCATTAATTTGGTAACATTTCAAATTTATCGGCTGAACCAAAATATAGGGAATTTTTAGATGGGGAAAAAGGCTGAGTAAGCAGTAATCAAAAGGTTGGGAAAATTCAAACAGTACCGGTATATGTTTTGTTATTTAGCTATGGATACCCCAATGCCCCAAAAGGAGTAACTTTAGCTTAAGTGATGTTAGGGTTGTAGAAGGATTGAAAGGGTGAAAAGTGACAAATTGTGTCTAGTATATGATTGAAAGAAGAGGCCAGGAAAGAGAAAAATTAGGTAAAAATAATAAGGTAATAAAACCAATTTTTGGCAAGAATGAGATTGTGTAAGGGAGAGCCCACATCAGGGGTGGGAAACTTTTGTGGTTAGAGGGCCAGATTGAAATTACAGTACAAGAGTTCTTTGGGGGCCACCTATTATTTTCACTTAATAATAGTAATCTAATCAGATTTATTGGATATGACAGCTACCCTGGAGTATAATTCCAATGCAGTTCAGCTATTATAAGTTACTCTTAAAATAATATATTTATATCCTCTAAATTTCATCCAAATCTATCAACAAATTCTATCCCCTCCCGAGTCTCTCCTTTAAAGAGAGTATGGTTGTGGGCCACCCTGAGACCCTCAGCAGGTCCACAATGGCCTGGGAAACACAGTTTCCACACCCCTGGTCTACATGGTGTTGGAATGAAGGAATATAGGGATATAATATGTTAAAAGGAATGCTAGCATGAAGGAAGGTTTGGACTTTTGCTGGGATAGGGATGTGTAGAGGAGAGTACATAGTGTCACCATGCTAGATATTTTTGCAAAGATACAATAGCACTTAATATTGACCTGTTTATTTTCCTGTGTTAGTGGAATAGAGGTTTGCAAAGTCAAGATTTTACTACATGTGTATAAGTGTATGTTAGAGTCTCGGAGATATGGTAGTAGGGAGGATTTGGTAAATAAAATATTATGCATGAGGGGAAGGCTTGGTGAGGGGAAAGTATGGTGAAGATGAGACAGGTTAAGAATATCATAAAAGGCGAGAGGGGAGAGGATGATACGAGAGAGAGAAAATGGGAAAAGGGAAGTCTGTTATTTTACAGGAGAAAGGGACAAAGAACACCATAAACATTAGTGAGATTAAATCATGGAAGTACCCTGTAGTGGGATAGTAATTATAAGGGAATCATTGACTTAATATTGTGTGCATGGGGTTGGATAGGAGTGTGTGAACGTAAATTTTTTAGTGTGCGTGTGCGTGCGCGTGTGTGCTTAGATACATGGAAGTAATACTAAAGCTTGCTAAGAATATTTTTTGACTTATACCACTCAAGTTAGTACAGCATTAATATTTCTCATGTTTCATGAATAGATCTACATTATTTACGTAATGGCCACCCATTAGAGGTGTCCATGCCTAGAGAAAGAGGCCAGTACCCTGTGTAGGATCTCTCCATTGCTCTTGATAATTTTGTCAAGGGTTATTTTGAAGCCCAGTACTGTTTATGAGAACTTTCCAAAGGCAATATGAAGCTTTTTCAAAGTCTAGCTCTCTATCTGCAGATAATATAACAGCTCAGAGATGCTACAGCTGTGTGGTAAGAAAAAGAGAAAATATTTAAAGGAGTTAATTAAGAGATGCAGAGGAAGGGCAGCTGGGAGCAAAGCACATGTGTAAAGAGGCATCGTAGAAGCTTAGGAAAAAAGACCTAGTAATTAACATATGTGCAAGTGTTACTTTTCTCTGAGAATGTGTCCAGACCAACCACCATGTTTTAGAAAGACTAATTAACTTTGTGAATGTATTAGCATAAAATTAAGCTGATTCCATTGTCTCATTAAGAATGGTTAATGGCTGTTAATTAAGGCCCAAAAGTTAACTGACAGCTATAATTATGCCTTATGTCCATATACTGTATGTAGTCAAGGTGGATTTTCACTTTTTTCCTGCACCAGGATCATGTTATATCTACATTTACTTTGAAGTAAAGATTGATTCTGGAGTTAACTGTACATGAACTGCTGTGTAGTCTTGAGCCAGACATTCATATACAGGGTATTAGGCAGTGGATACATTACCCATATTGTTATGTAAATGTTACTCTGTCTGTTTCTACATTGTTGAGTTCCTGCAGTAGTCAAAAGTTGAATACCAATAACTGTGTGAATGCTAAATAATTATTTGTTGTGGATAATTTTTAATGTGTTGCTTTCTTGCATGTTTTAAGCTATGTAGTTAATGTGTTGGAGTACCAAGATCCTGATAAGCACCATGACCCCCCCCCCCCTTCCACCTTTGGGTCAGTCCACAATTTTGAAGATAGAGAGCTGAAATATTTGTAGGAAGGTGAGGGTGGCCTAGGGAATGGCCGTGCACTATGCCTGTCCCTCCACAACGTCGATGCCGGGTAATTCAACTGCAGTACGTAATCCCCTGGGTTACAGAAGGGATGCGTCCTTGAAAAGTTGACCAAAACATGAACCCCATTTTCCCACTGACTTCCATTATACAATTGGAGATGTGTTCCTAAGGAAATTATTCCTGCAAAAAGAAGTTATGCTGTACAATCATTTTTATGAATCAAAATGAAAATTTTTAAACACGTACAGTACATCGATTATTTTATTATATAATATAATAATAGTATACGTATACAGTAGGATGTCAGAGTACGTACCTGTATCCATAGTACACAACCCTGCTTATATGTGTCTGATGCTTGGGTCTCACTCTTTTGTGAGCCAACCCACCCACCATCTCTCACTAGCTCAGGCTTATCACTCATCAATGATTGTTTTAGAAAAAATTATAAAATCATTACAAAACTGTAATGTGGCATAGAAATAAAGGAAATATAATATACAACTATAAAAAAGAAAAATGAAGAGCATGGGTGTGTATGTGTGAGAAGTGAACGCTTGTGTGTGGAGGCAGAGAGATGTACGTAACTGCGTAGACGACTCGCCAGTCTGCCCTCCCATCCTCCCTCTCTCCCTCCCTTAATGTGAGTCAGCTGGGTGACTGCCCAACTAAGTGGCTGAACTGTGTCTGTACAGTATTGCATTTTTTATTAAAAATAAGAAAAGCTTCATTTTGCAACACCTATCAGCCTGTCTAATGAGCTTCTGAGAGTGAATTGATGTCAGTGCTTGTCTAGTCCAAATGGAGAGTAGATCTACCTTGCATGTCCAGGAAGCCACCACATCCTTGTCCTATTTTATGTAGTTTCCTCAGTCATTTTTAGACCACATCTTGGGCTATTAGGAATCTTATTTGTTGTTCTTCCTTGTGTTTGCTACCACCAGTCCTTCCCTTATGACACAAGCTAAGAAGAAAAGAAGACAAAATTCAAGAGTATGAACCTGGGTGTTTTTAACGAGTTTTAAGAATCTGGATCATGCTAATGAGTTCTAAACCTCGCAACAAAGAGAAAGGTGGTGCCTTTTGACACCTGGCTCTCTAACATGTAATATTGTGCAAAATAATGAGGGCACCAGGAGCCAAGAACTTGTAAATCTTCAAAGGCTTGTACATTAACTCGAGATAAAATTTTACTTATAGAACTGGAAACTACTGTACTCCAAAAGTTCTTGGATGATTTTCAATTTTCAAATAAAATTTGATTCATCAATGATAGGAGAATATTCATGAGAAGAAGTAATGTGCAATTCTAACTAATGATTATACCTAATTTCATGAAAATGACCAAATTTGGGGGTACTTTTATGTTAATTTAGTTATACTCATGAAGGATCATCAATCTATGCACTTTATATCAATGAAAGCGCAAATAATTCACTTCAAAAGTGTTTGATATAGTATTTTGAGTATAGAAAGAATTTAAATAAAAAACCCACAAAAAATTATCACCCAAATTTGTTTCAATTTGATTGGAAACACTGTTAGATGAGCCTAAATATTGTGTTTCCATTTCATATAAATCCATCCATAAATGAAAAAAAAAGGGATCCAAGGGGATGATGGCCTTGTATTTCGAAAAGGGAGAATGGGCTGCTGATATCACTAGAGACCTAGGCTCGACTTTTAACATTGTATCTGACATTTAAATATTTTTTTTTGCCAAATTTCCTTGGTTTCAATTAAAAAAACTAAATTATCTGAAGCCTTTGTTCAGGATAAATCTCACCGTTTCTCACAGGATACATGGAAGGGGACTATGGTACTTTAATAGTCTTATCAACAGTAATATCATGAAGAAGTAGGTTTGTCCACACATAGTAAATAACTTAGTGTGGATGTCTTACAGGTCCGTAAACACGTCAACCGCATGATGGAAGAGACAGCACACAAGGGTCGCTCCACCAAGCCCCTGTCCGAGAGCTGGTGTTTCCTCGACTGTGAGTATTGCCACTCATTATCACCGTAGTATGTCCTCAGAAACCCTGCCCTCATCCTCACTTGAGCTCTTCCCATCACCACCTTAGTACCTCCTGTACCTGGGTAATCATCACCCAAGTACCTGTCCTCATTTTCACTTGAGTACAATACATATTATTTTTTTGTTAAAATAACTTCACTGTCATACCTCCGCGCCATCACCTGTCATCTTCACGATCACACTTGCATCATCATAGCATTTTATGGCATTTTTTCACACTTGCACGGGTTAGCAGCAATTACCTGATGGTAGTTTACTTTGCTACATGGTCTCTTGCAGGCATGGGGCAATTAAGTTTCAAATTTAACTATTTAAGTTAATTTTAAAAAAATCCAGTAACGTTAACCCGTTTTTTTAACATTAACTAATTAAGTTAAGATTTTTTTGATTAAGTTAAGTAAAGTTAACCAGTCTGTGACAAATTAGGGTAATTTTCATGTGGATTAAATAACTTAATGGCCTGTAAATGTTTTCCAGAAGAGTCAATGAATACTGTAGTTTGAATACCTGAATAGTGAGGCAGTCTGGCACACTACCTCCTTGGTATGAATAAGTCTTGAGATCAAATAATTATAAATTCTAGACTTTTTTATTTTTTACTCAACAGTTTTTCACATGTAAATAATTTTATTATTTCAGTATGCAAAACCAAGTTAGACTTTCTTACTTGAAAAATTATATGATAAGATAATAATTCTGCATATCATATAAATAATAATCAATGAAAGTTCAAACTCAAACTTTTTCATCACATACTTATTACACTTTATAATGCTAAATATATTGGATACTCACTGGGCACAAGGGCTGATGTGTTATATATTATTTGTTATTTTTTCTAAGGAGTTAATTGATAATTAATCAGAGTTAATCAGTTAACTTGCCCAAATTTTGATTAGTTAGGTTAAACTGTTATTTCAAAACTTAACTAGTTAAGCTAAGTTAATTAATTGCCCCATGCCTGGTTCTCTTTTAGTCTCTCTTGTCAAATATCATTACTGTGTCTTTACAGGCATTTGTCAAGACAGTCAGCATCATTATGAACACTTTAACCATTGTAAATAAATTATAAACTTGGAGTTTTGTTTAAAATGTATTTCTTTGTAAAAAGAAATGGTAATGTATTAATAAATAAATAGAGTAAAGTGATAACTTAAAGACTATGTAATTATATGGGCTTATTGGATCTGAGGCTAGAACATGGTAGTTGCGCAAACTCAGATCAGGAAAGGAGGAAACGTTAAACAAATTCTTTTCTTCAGTGTCTACAAGAGAAGATGTGAACAATCTCCCTGCATTTGAGAAAAGATGTTTGACACAACGCTGAAGAACCTTATGTTCTCAAAAGAGTACATAAGAAACAAATTGTCAGAGCTAAAGTTTCATAAGAACCCTGGTCCTGACATGGTGCATCCCAAAGTGCTAAGAGAGTTGTGCAACGAGCATGCTGAGCCCTTTAAGATCCTGTTCTGTAGATGCTTGAATGAGCAAAAGGTCCCTAGTGACTGGAAAATGGCATATGTGAGTCCTTATTCAAGCAGGGTGATCGCTACTCCACGAATAATTATCGGCTAGTGAGCCTGACCTGCATAGTGTGTAAAGTACGGTACTAGAGAGCATTATAAGAGATGCCATGTACAATGGAACAACCTTGTAACGAACTGCCAATATGGTTTTATGCTGGGACACTCCTGTTTGGACCCAGATCCTGGAGTGATTATTGTAAACTCTTTGAGCATTCTGCCAAAGAGTGTTTTGATGGCATTGAGCGTGAGCTCATTCAAGACCAGACTTAACCATCACTGGCACAGGTACAAATACATTCTAAGGTCAGTACAAGCACAGTACAGTACTTGCTAACAGTGCATAACAGAGATGTGACTGACCGCCCAAACGGCTAATGAACCAATCAGTGGTGAAGGGGATAAAAGGAAAGGACTGTGTATAGACTTCAGCTGCAAAAAACCTGGAAATTGCAGGATTTCTGGGATCTGGAATGACAATTTTGATTATTACTTATGTAAATGTATCCTAAAGTTCTTTGGACCTCAAACCCCATCTTACAATTGTGGATCTTTTTTTTTTTTCCTCGACATGTTTGGCAAATTTTGATAAAGTTTACAGATAGTTTTCTTGACGTGTCTAGAAATATTATCTCTGGAAGAATGTAACCTGCAGATAGGAATGACAAATATTTAAAACAAAAATATTTATTGATTACCAGTATGCTTAAAGAACAAGCTTTTCCATTTGATTAACAGAACTTACCATATTAATACTTCCAGCATGCACAGCAGAAAGATTCTTCCGTATAGATCGAGCTCAGGAGCACCTCCACTATGTGACGGACATTTGCACTGAGGATCTCTTCGTGCTGGACCCAGAGCTCATTGATCCCACCGCCATCAGTGGCATAAGAGGGGATGTGAGGTGAGGTGGTCAGGATTTTCTAGGGTTGGGCAGATGGGGATGAGATGAAGGGAGAAAGAACCTAGATGCAAGTAAGAGTGTGAGATAAGGTGGGAAGTATGGCCACTGTGGATTTGAGTTCTTGGCCATCTCATTGTATGTCTGATGCAGGACTTTCTAGTCATTTTAATTTACAGGCTACAGTGGGTAATACTTCTAAAGTGATACTGTACTATATGTTGCATGAGGGCCATAAAAAAGATAGTTATGCTTAATTTTTTTTATTTTCTAAAGATTCACACAATTCTTGACCTATTAACTTGAACCAAAAGGACGAACTACAAGAAGATATGTTATTATAGCTTTACTTATCACAAAATAATCACTAAATTAAAATAGAAATGAACAGCCAAAATATGCACACACTGTATTAAATAAGAATTCCTTGATATCTTACAAAGTATACTCTTAAATAAGAAACTGATGGCTTTATTAAGTATGCTGGCACTTATAAAGGGAAATATTAAATATTATTCTGTATTACATCACTGTAGCTTAGCAGATAATACAAATATGTACAAATTTTCATTAGTTAACTAGAAAAAAAAATGAAGGGAAAGCTGAAGATCCACAGTGGTGACAACTCCCAGAGCTCATTATTTTCCTGAGAAACAGTTGCTGTTGAATGCGCAGATTATAATGATTTAGTTCCAATAAGGTGAGTATTAGCTTGTTAGATTAACTAGTTTGCATGCCTTTTCTATAATATTTTCACAGTATTCTAGTGGATGTGATTTTACTCCTGCAAGGCTTAGAAGAATGTACATTTGTAATTGCAGTATTGTCTAAACATTAAATCCATCCCCAGTTGTGTTCTGGTGCATTTATACTACTGATTGGTTATACTTTGTAATAAACTCATCTTATCTACAGTTTTATCCAAAACCTTTTTGAACCTTCTTTCTTCAGATTTTAATTATTCAATGAAAAAGTTGGCCATTTTGTAGACCTGAGACCGTTTAGGTGATCCTCAGTGCCTTAACATCAGCAGTTCCTCATTATTCACTTGATAGATAGATAGATAGATAGATAGATAGATAGATAGATATACTGTACTGTATAGATAAAGTATTCCTCCACCTATGTGCAAACAAGTTCACTAGTCCACTTGGATGGGAGCTGCACTTCAGTAGCACTCAACACCCATTATCTCAACCTTGACTACTGGATTAGTTCCTAAGTGTAATAGTTCCAATTTGACTCGATCGAATTCCACTCCAAGAATAGACTGTACAGGGGGTACCCAGGTAACTGAAGCATTACCACTGTGGCATCCATTGTATTGTCGATATGTAGAGTTATTTTGGTAATGTTTTTGTATCTTCCCACTTTTATTGCTGAATAATTTCATAAATATTAGAATGCGATAACCATGGCTGCTGTAATTACTTGTTCCAGTCTTGCATCATGTATTTTCTGGAGATTAGGGTATCAGTGCCATAACCTACCCATTCTTCTATTATGACAAGACTTCACAAAACATTAATTTGTAATATTGGTGGTTTGGTAACAGACAACATTACTATGATAATTATAGCATCAGATAATAATGATGTTATAGTCAGTTGCTGTGTTAACTGCAGTACCCAAGTAATGTAAGACCCTGGTATAGTATGGTGGCCTGGTAACTGTGGTATTCCTGGTTATGACTGGGTCTCACAGCGTGGACAACGACATTGACCATAGCGAGAGGATGGCCATGGTAAGCGACAGTGACTCTGGAGTGGGCGGAACTGATGCGGAGCAGCGAAACCCCACCCCCGCCCTCACCGCCAGCCAAGACTCCTCTGACACCGGGGAGGAGGAGGTGGAGGCGGCCCTGGAGGCCGGGGTACCCAGGTAAACAGCTCACACTCCTGACCCGCGTGGAGGCACCTGACTCTCGATCTGTCGAAGGGAAGATGCCTTGGGGTAGCCTTCTAGAAGGAGGGGAACTTATTGAAGTACTGTACAGGCAATTTAGTCTTCATTTTTTCCTGTAATGTCAATCAGATAAAAAGATATTTTTGCATCATTGGATACTGTTTAGTTCCAAGATCATAGAATAATGAGCAGAATATAAATGAAATTAGTTGCAAGTTTAACAAGTTTATTGTTTCTGTATATTTTGAAATCTGAATGCAACAAGTCTGTCAGCTTCCTCCACGTGGCCACCCATATGTAGACATATTAGCTGCTTGGGGCACGAGGTCTAGCGAGGCTGTGGCTGGTGTGGGTGCTGCTGATACTGCTGCTGTTGCTGATGTTGGTGTTGGTTCCATTGGTGCTGACGATGATGCTACTCTTTACAACTGCTCATAAGGACCTTCGCAGCTTTTTCTTGCCTTAGGGCTAATGCAGAATACAGGAGCCTCGTAAAATAAAATGCAAAACAGAGACACATTAGGAGAGACAATTTCTTGATAATTTTATCAGTTATTCTGTGAATGATACTTTATTTTGTGACAACCAATATTATTGCTTGCTTTTTATTTTTTTAGCTATTTAAATCTTTGCTAAGTACTGGTCTAAGTATCTGCAGCCCAAATCTTCATGGACAAACATTGTTGGCTAGTGTACTTGACATTCTGCAGCCTTAACATGCATTGGTGATGTATGTGAGTCACTGCAACTTAGGCAAACATTGTTTGTCCATAAGTTATTCTCTGCAGCCCCACCTACTTCAATTTGGCTGGGCTTTCCATCACTTAAGCCCTTGCCAGCAGTGGCAAATATTCTATGGTTTAAGAATAGAAACAAAGAAATCTGACAATCTGGTTTTTCGTGTTCACTTTTCACTCTTACTTACTGGAAACTGCAATTTCCTCATGTGCACAAGTTTAACTAGTGTAGTTCTTGCATGGTTATTTTATTATTGTTCAAGGAATAAATCCGAGATGGGAACACAACATGGATTCAGGTACATACTTCACTTCAACATTAGTGGGCATGATATAACTGGTAATTATTTTTCTTAAGCTTTTCTTCTTGCAGTGTATGTAATGTTAAAAGCTATTGCAGCATTTGGTCTTTTGAATAAGGACTGTACTTGACTTTGTGCTGCCTTGCTGTATATGTGTGTATGCATACACATACACAGCAGATTTTTTTCATTTGAATTGTATTTCTGGAATGCATATTGTATATTGTTATATGAAAATAGAATATGTATGCATTTTGTAATGTAGACCATCAGTTATTTTATTTGCTCATGTGTCATTTTCCTTTTTTCTTGGACTCTTTTGGACTTCATCTAACGTGATTCATGACCGTCAATCAGCTTGCATGACCGTGTCTTTGGTCCAGAATACTACCCTCCCAGGTACATCTTTTTCCTCTAATTGTTTGTATATGTACAGTGTAAAAGCAAAATGTATTGTCATAGAAATATCAGTAGCAGCATAGAGAGATATGTTATTAAAGTAGGATACCCATTTTACACAAACAAATACTGTACCCTATATGTAAATGAACCCACCGTAAGGATGAAAACTTATGGCTGTTTTAGTATGGGGTGACTACCACCAACTTAACAACCACATTACTCTCAGTCAAATGTTTGAGACACAAGTAGGCAGACTTCTTTTGTGATCTGTGATAACCTAATTATTATAAAATCCCCATCCATGTTGTTAATATGCTAATGTAACTGGGACAGACTGATCAGGGTTACAAATTTTATAATCCCTAGGTGTTACTCTCTCACAGGCATGGATTTTTGTATTCAAAAGTCCCTGTGTTTACATTTTAGCAGAGCCTTTAAACCCTGTAAAAATATTTATTTTTTATATATGTACCCGAGAGTGAGTGAGAGTTAGTGTGAGCATGTGTGCGTTCGTTTATTTGTTAGTTCAAGCGTTCAAACTTTTATTCATTCATCTTTGTCTGGATGTCTTTATGTATGTTTGTTTATCAGCTGATACTGCCATTTACTCCACTTTTTATGTTTGAGTTTTCTCTATACAGGGTATATTGTATTCAGTGTTGTGTCCATTTGTTTGTTTGTCCAACTTTATTTGTCTGGGATTACTGTACAGTAAATGTCTATACTTGTCTGTCTGTATTTTATTTTTTCTGTTAATCCTCTGGTACTTCTGGGTCATGGTTGAAAACCTCACCCCCTCGTTGTCTTTCGATGCTGGTTGCGTCAGTAACAGGAACAGTTTTTCCATTTTAGTAAACATTAGGGAGAGCAATCCAGACCCAAATTGCACCCTTACGGTGGGGACACTGGGCACTTTCCTCCAAACATGTTGCCCATTTTGCTGGCCATTGGCTTGACTACCCAGCAAGCAGCAGGATTTCAGCTTTTGCTAGAAATGGACAACGTTTTGGCGGGGATCTTTGCTGGCTGGATTAGTGCTCAAATGAGCTTCATATAATTTCAAGTAAAAATTTAAATAAATCATGAACAATAATAATGTAAAATATAACACATAAACGGTGATATGTTTCTATTTATTTGTCTCTTTAAAACTTCTTTAATACTATTAAATCACTATTCTGGGTCTTCTTTGACCAGCCAGCTTCCGCCACTTTTAAAGACACTTCACGATGCACCCATTGTCTTTTCTTTAGCTTTTGCAGATGCCTCACTTGCTTCTGTAATTGAAGAACTATAGCACAATCCTGCAAAGCCTCAACTGTAGTAACGGGATCCATGGCAAACTTCATCTATACGCTTTGTTGTTGTTTTTGTTACGTTAGGCAGATGCGCCGACAAAGCAACCCAGTGTGACACAAAATGTGTCTTTGTTTTGCTGGCCGGACCATGTTTGCCAAACATGTTTGGAGGAAAGTGTCCAGTGTGCCACCACCTTTAGCGATACTTCTGTTCATGCATTTCTGCTTATGGGAGGGGTGCTCTCAGTGTGAGATACGGTTGAGCTTGAGGGGTCGTGCCAGCATGGGAGCGCTTAGCAATGTAATTTGCATTGAAAGACCACAAGAGGGTTAATGTTTGTGTCTGTCAGTCCGTTTGTTTGATTCACTGTTTCTGTTTTTTATGAGTTTGTATCTGGCCAGATGTCTAAATAACAATGTCTTGAACATTTCTATATCCATATCTTGTCTGTCCATCTAATTGTACATCTCTTTGTCCAGTAATGCTTATTTTGAATCTCCTTATTTTTTGAAGGTTTGTTGCTGTCAGTAGTTGTCTGTTCTCTTTGTGTTATAGTTTATATCATGTGTGTAATGGAGTGTTAGTCTTTGGGTCTATGTGTATGTCTCTCCAGTTACCTCTCAGTTTTCAGACTGGATTTTATATTTTCATACTATTTCCCTCCTTCTCGGTACAACTGTTTGACTGACTTCCTGACTGAATTTTTACTTAATTCTCTGAATGAATAAGAGTGGTTTTGTGTCCTATGGCCTAAGTGAATGGGTGACTGAATGTGTGTCTGATTGGCAAGTTGGTTGTCATAGCGTTGGTGTCTGTTTGACTTGATTATTTGTTGCTGCATATGATCACACCGAGTGTAAATTAGATCGTGGCATATTTCTGTTTGTTTGTAAAACGTTTACTGTCTTGACTGATAATATCAATGTTGATGCATATTTTTGTTGAATATCAAAGTATCCTTAAACTAATCTTGCTCCTCCTGTGACCTCTCTGTGTCCTTCTTCCTCAGCCACCTTCTTGAGAAGAACTCAGATGGGATCATAAAGGCTGCCAAGCAAGGGGATCTAAAGATGGTAAGTCAGCTTTCACATTACAATTTTCAGCTTTATCAGTATCTAAGTACTGTAGTTCTATTTGAAGTCTAGTGCCAAGAGGTTTGAAGGTGGTCTACTGACACAGGTGTCAAATATGCCTTAAGAAATTTTAAAAGACATTAAGGGAATTTTGGGTTCATAAGCAGCACTATGAATACTTAACCTGGACAAGTTATTTGTATACGCAAAAACTTTTTGAGTAGCTACTCATAGGTACAGGTATCCCTGGAGATACAAACGTTTGTGATACAAATATTTGCTTATACAAATTTCATAAATTAACACCACTATATCGTGTTACAAAAGCTTTCTCCGTTTATATGAATTTGGGTCTCAGCAAAAATTCAAAACGCGAGCCCTGGCAGTCAGCTGGGGCGACCACATCCACCTAATGCTTTCCCTAACAGGCTGCAGTAGGAGTTGTGTTATGGTAAATTTTTAACTCATAATTTTTGGTATATAAACTTATCAAAACACATCTTTTACAGAATATGAATGAATGACAATGGGTGAACAGAAAATGTATGCATTATACTGTATATATAAACTAAAAGTTTTAGAAAGGATATTCACTGAACCTTTCTGCTCTGTTTTAGACGAAATTTAAGCTATAAATGACATCAACAGAAAGGACAGATTTTTTAGATGAAAATTAATCATCAATTTCTTTCTCCATCAGCTAAAGGATCTCCACTCACAAGGGTTTTCACTACTCTCAATTGATGCGCATGGACAGACTGCCCTTCACTATGGTGCACGCCATGGGCACAAAGACATTGTGCGTTATCTAATTGCATCTGCCCCGCCTTCCATCCTTGACATGGTGGATACAGATAAGTAAGTCTTGTATATTTTATGTTGTATCATCGATGTAAAAATGTCAATTTTCAGCACATAGATTTGCTTATAAGTACAGCACTGTATACTGTACAGTACTGTATTAGGACTACATTTAGCACAAAATCTCTAATTTCTGCCATTTTGTTAAGCTTATCCCCTTCTGAAATGCTGCTTATGCTGAGGAAGACCATGTCTGTGTGGTGAATGATTATCTTCAACAGTCCCTAACAATCACTATAAAACATATAGTACAATAAACCTTTGAAAGTCCAGACAATATTGGGGAAAGGGGGGTTCAGACTTACCAATTGTCCAGACTTTTACCAAGTGGGGGTTCTGGGGGCCACTGTGCAACTGAGCAGCCAGTAATTAGCCCCTGATGACCCTTAAATTTGTATTTTAAGGTGCAATAAATGTCATATGTGTTTCCATTTACATTTTCCTTCATATATAATAGTACAGTAGTAAGTAGTAGGCTGGTATCAAAAACAGGGAGTTACTGCCGCCTGGGAAGATATTGGAATCATAGTGTGTTGTCTAATGGTAAACCCTGCTGCCATATGGCATCACAAAAATTTTGAACACATTCCAGGTTACTGATTTGACTGACTTTTGGCCTCATTTACACACAATTGCTGGGATTCATTTGTCTCTCTTGCTTATAAAACAGAACATATACAGTACAGTATATATTGTTTCTTGATCTGTTTTCTTTTTCCATTTCTGTATTTATTTTATGATGCAATCCCCTCCCCCCTCCTGTGGTCCTGATGTGGGGTGGTGACCTGTGCCCCAGTGGGCTAATTCCCATTAAAAAAGATAAAATTCAATACAGTGGTCCCTCGGTTAACGAACACAATCCGTTCGAGCAGGTTGTTCGTTAACCGAAAAATTCGTTAACCGAAACCATTGTTTCAATGGGTTTTTGGGTAATTGGTTCCAGCTCACCGAAAATTGCCTAAATTCAACAAAAATGGTAGAAAAGTTCACTTACTTTGAGGTGTGTATGTAGAAGGCTCCTGGATGATGATGATGATGTGCATTTGAAGTGGGAGGTGGAGGAGAAGGAAGAAGAGAAGGCATTGGGGTGGAAGAGAAGTCACCCCATGGCACCATTTCACCCATAAAATTTTAGTTCTCTTGGTGTATTTCAAGATTATTTTCTTTAAATCAACACTGCACTGCATTATATATTGTCAATATGTAAAATATATTTCAAAATGACCAATAATTTGCTTGGAAACACAGAAAAAAAGCGTTTAGTTGAAGAGAGTCTCAAGCAAGATGTTACCTCCACTGAAAACAGAGAGAGACTAACACCTGTCTGGTGTGTTAACAGGCTGTATGGCACGCCAGAAATTAGTTTCTTTACCTTCAATTATGTTCAATAATTGTTGAAATGACTAAAAAAGTTAATATTAAACTTTTAAAATTATTGAATAGTATAAACTTCTTGATATTTACGAAAATAGTAAGGAATTTAAGCCCTAGAACTGATTAATGTATTGGCGGACTAATACTAAAGCTTGTTGACCGGCCAGTGCAAGCGAAAACATGTTGAGGTTGGTTCGTAAGAAATTCGTTAACCGAATTTTTGTTCGTTAACCGAATTTAAGAATCTTATGGGAGGCAGTTCGTTAACCGAAATTTCGAACCGAGGCGTTCGTTAACCGAGGGACCACTGTATTTTACATAATTTATTAAAATATATAATGTATTGGCTTTAATGGGGACATTGTTCAGTGATCTAATCAGATTTGATATAGGCTTAACGAGAGCTAATAGGTCTGAGATGACACTGAATATACTGTAAACGTGTTGGAGGTGGTGGGGGGACTAGTCCTTGCTATGTTCGCCAGTTTATTTTTATTTATTCATAATATTTTTCTCTTATGACCAGTCTCTTATTGTGTGTTTTTCATTAATAAATAATATAACATACAGTATTAAATAATAAAAGAAATATGATATTTAATTTTACTTAAAAATAGGGGGACAAACCGAATCGCAAGGTAATCTCTTCCATGACTGTCCTGACCACTCACCCCTTCCCTCTTTAAAGGAGGGGGATTGGGGGTGGGATGATTTGTTGCCGCTCTCGCGTTTGTTTTTATTTATTCATTATTATATTCTTGTATGATAAGCATCTTATGGTGTATGTTTCATCATTGATAATATAAAATATTAAATGATAGGAACAAATATGATACATTATTTGTAATTTGACTTCAAAATAATGAAGACTGAGATGGACTACGTTGGGTGTGTGTGCATGTGACAGGTGGATGATGCAATATGCGCTTGTCTTCTGATCTCTTCCCGGGAGATTATTTTACCAAAAATCTTACCATTTTTCTGTGTACAGTATTGAACCTAAACCTAACCAATTACTGTACAGTGCAGCATTGTGGACGAGTCCATTCTAAAAGTGGGGGAACAAACTGCTCACTCATGGGTCCAAGAAAAGGAAAGAAATCAAGGGATTGCTCGCTGGTGGTAATTTAAAATGACCGCACCCAGTGAGAATTTCAAACGGCAAATATTTAAGGGTTCGATCAAATGTTTCTTGTCCAGAAAGAGTCCGAATTATCCGGAAGTTGCAATTCCTGTCTTCCAAAGGCTTACAGTATATACAGTATGTGATGTTTCCCTTCAAAATGTCAATTACAGGTAGGCACCTCATGTCTATGATCAAAAACTAATGGTACCCCATTTTCCATCACACCATAAAAAGTTTGATATTGTGCAAATATATGCAAATATCTGAATTGTCTTAAGAAATTTTGCCGATAACTGGTACAGGTATCCGCAATTTAGCGATTGGGATGTATTCCTGAAAAAACAGATCGCTAAATGAAATGATCAAAAAGCAAACAGAAACGAGAAATAATATCCTAAACACGGATAAAAATAAATAAATAATATCTGTGGAGATGGCATGTAATTGTGTCGCGGAGTAACCGACTGGTCGACTTGCCATCCAGTAATGCGCAGAGCAGGTGAGTCTGAGTTGTGAACTATGTTATTGTTCAACTCATAATTTTGGGTAGATATGCATAATTTTAATAATTTTCTTTTGCTCTGTTGCCTGCACACACAATTGTTCATACAGAATGTGCAAACAAAAACAAAATAAAATAATTATCATAAGGTCAAAAATGTAAAGAGAATAAACAGTTTTCAACATGGTCAGCACCAGCTCTAAGAAGAATTTTAAAGTCAGTGCAGGTTGGCTTAACAGTTTCAGGAAGCGTTTCAACTTGAAAAACATTAGAATCACTGGTGAATCGACATTGGCAGACGAAGTAGGTGCATGGGTGTTCCTAGACGAATTCGGGAAATTAATTGAGGAAAAAGGATATCTTCCAGAGCAGGTCTTCAATGCTGACGAATCAGGTTTGTTTTGGAAGAAAATGCCAACCAGAACCTACATTTCCAAATCTGAGAAGCAGGCCCCCGGGTTCAAGGCTGCGAAGGACCGCGCCACTCTCCTACCTAACCTTCCGATGTTCAAGATATGTTACTCGTTTTTTATAATAGTTTTTGGTTAAAATACTGTTATATTAGTGATATTCTATTCATACTGTGCTTGATATAATACATTCACGGAAATGTAATATATTTGCTGAAATGACGTACGTATTACAGTGGAAAGTGGGATAAAATCGTGACGAAAGCAATGACTTTCTCTTTCTTTCGTTCAAAAGATGTTACCATAATCACTTTTCGAATGGTTTTCAGTTAAAAACTGTTGTATTACAATAATATTCCCTCCTAATTGACTTGAATAAATACTTGAATGGAAATATACAATATTTTTGTTGAAACTACCCGCGTTTCAGTGTAAAGTGTCGTAATAATAAATGGTAAACAATTTGCCTTCGGCACTCACTGTTTTAGGCACGGCGAGCCTCAGTTTATAGGACGTAGAATGTTTTTACTGAAGGTTTTGTTGTTCCAATACCCTCAAACACTTGGGTCGACCTATATATATATATATATATATATATATATATATATATATATATATATATATATATATATATATATATATATATATATATATATATATATATATATATATATATATATATATATATATATATATATATATATATATATATATATATATATATATATATATATTTATATATATATATATATATTTTTATATATATATATATATATTTATATATATATATATATATATATATATATATATATATATATATATATATATATATATATATATATATATTACCCGCCTAATCACTTAACGTTTTTCATATAATGCTGGTGCCTCGCCAGAGCTGAACTTTCACTTAACACGGATTTTTCAACATATGCGGTGAGTGTCCCGCTTGAGACGCTATTTTTAGATTTGCCCCACCGCCACCCTGCTTGACTGCCTGTTTTAGCTCATAAAATTCATACAAATTACCCGGCCAGAATATAATTTACATTGCTGGAATTCTTATAATTTGGTGATCATTTTGAATATAAACATCATATATTTTGCATTAGACATACAAATTTTAGATAAAATGTTTTCTCTGAGTAAATATGTTATCTTTTGTGCAAAATATATGACATTTATATTCAAAATATTCCTGGTCCTACAAGGAATCCAGCAATGTCAATTATATTATCCTAACTTTGGTTTGAGGTATTATTTATTACTAAAAAGTTAAAATATTCTGGTTTTCCCACACATCTCCTTGGGACGGTTGGTGGGGGGTGGGGGGGAGGGAGGGACCGACCGACCATCTGTTACCCTGTGAAGAATATTTTTTTTTTTTATTAACTGAAGATATTTGTTTTAGCTCATAAAATTCATACAAATTACCCGGCCAGAATATATTTTTCATTGCTGGAATTCTTATAATTTGATGCTCATTTTGAATATAAACATCATGTATTTTGCATTAGACATACAGATTTTAGATAAAATGTTTTCTCTGAGTAAATATGTTATCTTTTGTGCAAAATATATGACATTTATATTCAAAATATTCCTGGTCTTACAAGGAATCCAGCAATGTCAATTATATTATCCTAACTTTAATCTGAGGTATTATTTAATACAAAATGTTAAAATTTATTTTATTCACCCACCCTTTCTCTTGAAGGGAGGATTTGTGGGGGGTGGGGGGGAGGGTTGGGACTGACCACGCGGTTGGAAGAGGGGGGAGGCAAGGTGGGGTACTTTGATTGACAGATAGTGTTGTGAAGAATATTTTTTTTTTTTATTAACTGAAGATATTTGTTTTAGCTCATAAAATTCATACAAATTACCCGGCCAGAATATAATTTACATTGCTGGAATTCTTATAATTTGGTGATCATTTTGAATATAAACATCATATATTTTGCATTAGACATACAAATTTTAGATAAAATGTTTTTTCTGAGTAAATATGTTATCTTTTGTGCAAAATATATGACATTTATATTCAAAATATTCCTGGTCTTACAAGGAATCCAGCAATGTCAATTGTATTATCCTAACTTTAGTTTGAGGTATTATTTATTAAAATTTAGTGGTTTTCCCCAAAAAATTTCTCAGAGGGAAGAGCCAGCAGTGTAGTGTGAGAAGAGGGGGAGGGAGTTGAGTCCATTATTTGAATGGACATTAACTTGGCGACTGTATTTCTCTATTTCTCTTAAGTATTAATTGTGTGCATGTACCATCATAAAATTAAGATGTTATTTTTACTACAACATAGTTATGTGTCTTCAAAAAGTGGAGTTTGGGGGTCGGGCCTGGTTTCTATTGGAATTAATCCCATATGTTCTGTTGTTCACTTAACGCGGATTTCACTTAACACGGGACCCTCTGGGTTCTATTGACCGTGTTAAGTGGGGTACAACTGTATATATATATATATATATATATATATATATATATATATATATATATATATATATATATATATATATATATATATATATATATATATATTTCATGTAGATCCACAATGAAAATGTGGATAAAGGTAAATCTTGATAAAATCCTGCGGAAGCGTTGTTTCCCTTTTCCAGCGTGATTTTATCAACCATATATATATATATATATATATATATATATATATATATATATATATATATATATATATATATATATATATATATATATATATATATATATATATATATATATATATATATATATATATATATATACATACATATCTGATGGCGGCTCGTGAAAAATAAAATGGAGGGACTGCAAGTCTCACACAACAGTAGGATACACAAATTTGACCTACCTCAGGTATGAGTTGTAGTTGATGTCCACGAATTCCCAGGGCATGGTAGTAGTGTTGGTGGTAGAAGGGATGGCCGAGGTGGTGATGGACCAGTATTAATTGAAAATAAAGTCGGTGTGTCTGCTCTTCGATGTAGCAAAATTGTTTATTAATATTTCATTAAAATCCTTTATTTCTGTTATCATTTTATTTTCAATGGATATCACTGCTAAAGCAGACAGTCTGTCATTCACCATGGTACTGCGCAAAAAAGTTTTAATTCTCTTGTACTGTTCTGTTGAATGGATAAAACTGGTGTAGGTCTTCCTCTTGCTTTGATTTCAGTCTTTTCATTTAATGTCAGCTGGGAAAAGTTGATGTTTTGCAAATACTTCACTCGATTTTCCATCGTCAAAGGGTAATTAAAGAAAGCACGATTTAACCACACCGTCCACACGCAATGTAAACACGTTGTACGAGACTGAGCTGCTTCAAGTGCAGCTCATTGTCTCCAGAAGTGGTGCGGCGGCGGCGCCAATTAATAACAGACATGAATCGTACAGCATTGACAGCAACTATGAAAGTAACTTAAATTTTGGTCTGATTTTAATGAAAATTCACTTAGCAACGTATTGAAAATAATTAAATAACATATAAAATGATATATTTGTTGGTGGTGTATTATTCAGCTGTCTCTCTAAAGGAATCATACGCCTGGCAGTGAGTGTCTGGGGGGACTGCAGCTCTGCAGCCCTATGCAAGAGCCGCCACTGTATATATATATATATATATATATATATATATATATATATATATATATATATAATTTTGCCAATCTTAAGGGTTTTCAGGAACAGAACCATTGTAATAAACAAGGATTACTTGCATAATAACCAGGTTTTATTGAATAAAATGTTTTTAATAGTTTTGGTGTGTTTACAGATTATTTTAGTGTAAATGATAAATATCTCACGGAATACTGAAATATTTTAGAGACTTGTTAATATTGCCATGAATTTCCAGGGGCCAGACAGCACTTCACCAGGCTGCGTACAACCGACGACGAACAGTTTGTTGTATGCTGGTAGCAGCAGGTGCCTCCCTCACCATCAGGGACCTACTGGGCAACACTCCCAGGGCTCTGGCCCAACGTGCAGATGACCAGGAGTTGGCTGCCTATCTGGAGAGTAAGTGCCAGCTTATGGGTCTTGGTGCATCCATGCCAGAGGGAGAAGATCAGTCATCTCTTCCTTGCCACACATCTTATTCCCACTCGCTCAGGGGTGCACGTCACCACGCACTCGCTAAAAGGCTAAGAGTAGAAAGATTAATATAGTACAGTACACATATTTTATTTTATTGCACTGTGTGAGGTAGTTCTTTTGTCCCTCACTAAATTTTCAGATTTTTACCAAGGCTATAAGGCCTTTACAAGGCAATATAAGGCTCATGTTGCACATGAATGGTATTCAGGAAGCTGACTAAACTCACATCATACCATACTACCTTTCCCTTAACTTGAAAGCCTATGCTATAATGTACAGTAGTTGTTGCTCTAGAAAGCATTTTTGCTATGCTGTACAAAGGGGCAGAAAACACAAATTTTGGTAGGAAGTGTGTTGTAAGTTGACTTGAGTTTCTCCTGACTTCTGGCCACAGCCTCAGTCACGTGCACCGTCCTCGTGGAGGGAGTCCTTTGAACCACACGAGCTTGGACCATTTTTGTTAAGGACAAGAGGCCTTTCTTAGTTTATAAATACTGCTTTTAGGCAAACTGTTGAGTGTTGTCTTCCATAAGTGCCCCCAAATCTTATGTTACTTGATGGAGATCATTTATCAGAGTAGAAAAATTGGTGTGAATGGAGCGTTTAAGTTATTGGTAATTTGGGTAACCCTTTACCAAAGGTTAATTTGATATCCCGTGAAAACAGATGTGCATGCTTGTTTTATAACCCTGCCTGAGTACTATTGGAATGCCAACTTAGCCTTCTGATAAATGCAACTAACATAAGAATATGAATTAAATAATATTCTTAAAAGTAACAGGGTGATAGCCTTTATGAGACGGGGCTCTCAGAATTTCTTGAATTTTACCCATTTTGTTAGATGTGTAATTATAACATTAGATTTTTGGTGTTATATAATAGGAAGTGATGACAGAAGGGAAGAATACTTCTCACTTTGACTTGTGATTAAGATTTTGATTTTATTATGAACACAAAAGTTTAACCCATACTTCTTTTCATATGTTGATTTGACAGGAAAGTGGACTTCCATGTTGTCTTCTTAGTCTTCAGTATACAGTATTTGAATAATTTTTTTTTTTTACATTTTTTTGTGGTTTCCATTCTTTATTGCTTTTTCAGGCCAAGAGAAATTCTCTCAACCCAACAATAGTAATCTCAATTACGTTGACTAAACTGCGAACAAAAAAATATACTTCCTTAGGTAACGGTGGGTGGCTCCTGTTATGGCAGGTCCCAGGTTCTTGTTTATGTAAGAATGTAGCGATGCAGTTTAGATATATTGTCAATGAATCACATTTTGCACCACTGCTTTGCCAATTTAGTTACACATAAAGTAATTAATTATGTAGAGGTAAATCTTGTAGCCATAAAAAAGTGAACTCATGCACACCCACCCAGTGATTAAAAGTTGTTTGTATAAAAAGTATATATTAATCTTTTTGTAATTAATAGTTTTGGTGGCATTAGAAAGAAGGTTCTTGTATTTGCCATTGATGAATATTTAATTTCTATCAAAGTAGCCTACCAAGGGTGAAAGGCTACATACTGATGGAAAATGTGCCGTGACAGGTGATGAGGGCCTTTAGGTGAGAATTATATTGGGCTGAGCTGATTGTTGCTTTACCTCAATACTCTTTATTATTCTCAGTGAAGGTGTATTGAAGGTCAACTGATATCTGATCACGGTACAGGAATTTTTTATGCAAGATAATGTTTTGGATGGCAATCACTTATTTCCAGCAGTATTTTTGCAGTCATGATATTTATAAATTTAAATCAACTTCCCCTTGAATGAAATACCTATCCAAAACATATGACAGTATTGTGTAGATAGTGTGCCAACAGAGTGGATTACACATCACCTCGCTGTTTCTTGCACGCTCTATGCCAAGGATTCTGCTCTGGCTCTGTTCTGTACGTATGAACAACGCTAAAGTTGCCCTTTTTTCCTTTAAGCATTTTAGATCTATCTTGTCCATACTTTATAGATTTTAATGTTTTTACAGTTATTATACATGAAAACACTAAAGAAATTAGAAGTTAAAGTAGATCCTTAAGTTCAAGTTTTCATTAATTCCCTTCAAGTGTTAAAGTTGTCATGATCATACTCAGAGCTTCATAACGACACAGTTTATCTTCTTTCTTTCTTTTCCTTAAATGCATGTGTTCATGTCAAAATACTAGCATTATTTTCAATCTGTTGTGATATTTCCTACATGCATGATTATTTTCCTTAGAAATATGTTCATTTTAGGTAATCACTTATAATGTCTGGCAAAAAGCTTTCAAAAATAGAAATGGGCTTTAGTGCTTATGTCATGATCTGCATTTGTTACTTTCTTAAATCATGCCAAATGCATTTATTGCAATTGTATATTAATGTGTTGCTTTTGTGCCTGCTTTAAATATACAAGCTTTCACTATTGCTAAAGAATAGTCTTTGATTAGCTTTTTTTAAATGGTGATGTAACTAGACAAATATTTTTTTCAGGCCAGGAGCAGTTTCAGACCATGGTTCATGAGGACTTGGAGACAACCGTATGATTGAGGCTGTACCTCGGCCAAGGATCATGGAAACCCATCCTCTGGCTGAGCTTGGCAACCTTCAGAGTGGATGATCTCTTCTTACATAAACTTATCATCTCTTGACACATTATTGAATTTTTTCTTGTGTTTTATATGAATCAACATAGAGGGATGAGAGGATGATTTTCATCTCTAGTCAGTTTTAGTAATTCCATCTCAAGTTTGTCAAGCCTCCATACAAAACAAGAAACAGCTGCGGAATCTGACTGATACATGTGAGTTGTCAGAATGCTGTATTAAAACATACAGTAAAGTTTTATGGTCTGAAAGATGAAGAAAACCAAGACTGCTCTGCTGCTGGTCTTCCACTGTGAACAACTTTTGGACAGTGAACAGATGTAGACATGGTTGCCAACCTAAGTCATTCCAGTCAAATATAAGATATTTAATGTGTCTGTGTAATTCATGTGTAGGTTTTTTGAAACCCCTTTAATCTTTAGTATTTAAATACCCATAACCTGCATACAGTAAAGTCCCCTGATAAGCTTAGTGTCCCACTGTGCTTCAATCATATGCTATATAAATATATATATATAAAAATAATTTTTTTTAAGGATAATATATCTATTTAAATTTCAATCAATTAAGTGTACTTTAATATTGTTGTTTTCCCACAGTTACTTTTCTTGTATGGCATCCGTAGATAGGTATGTGCAGTTTGGACATATCAGTATTGTAGTCATTGTAGCTTCTTGTTTCATCAACACTATTGGTTTCCTAAGATCTGCTCATGTGAGGCAGTTAAAAGTATTGACTTGTATGTTGAAGGTAACACAGAGTGAGCTGTGAGAGACTGATGGAAAGCTAGGAATTTTTTTCTGGATGATAGGCTATATTAATAAGGTATACTTGCTCTGTTATGGAATATACCTATGAACTTTAAATAGGTCAAAGTTTAGTACTAAAAGATGAAGTTATTTAGGAATATATAGTGTTATTTGATACCAGCACGATATGCTAGCCTGAACTGCTTGGTGGCGTTGTACGATGTCTCCCCCCTATGTGCCAGGCATGAGACTAGCATCCGAGTAGTCATGTCATGAAGGAGAGTCATTAATGTATTGCTCGTCCTGGTGCAGTTTCAGGGTTTGACTCTGGGCCGCCCAAATACCGTACTACATGTTATTTTTACAATTGGTTTGAATTCCAATGGTTTAAAGGATATCAGGCAAAGTATCAAAATGTTTAACGTATTTCTTCATTCTGAGTTTGAGTGTGTTTAAAAAAATGACAAGTATTGAGAAGTGTTCTGTGTGAAAATATCTTTCATGCACAGTGTCTGGGCTTCCCATAGTCACATCCATGTTGGGTATGCACATGAAATTGCACAAGAAGCTTGAGCAAGTAGATATCTCTATCTTATGATAAATATGCTGGTAAAGATAGGTAATATTTAGTTAATTTGATTTGATTACCTTTATGCACTAGTGTTAAAGTATAATCAAGAGCCATTGTTTACAGATGCCAATTAGAACTATGAGTAGACCATAGCGTGTAGAATATATGTGCAATCTGTCAACAGTCGCTCCTATTGAAAATGCGGGGAATAGTGCATAGGGGTCAAATCACGTATTCTTGCTTGTACAACATTTCATTTATGTGGTAGTCGCATAACCTAGTTAGAAAGTTAAACAGTAAATTGTACTCAGAATATGTTTTCATGGAAGAAGGTACATGCAAGATGTCATAAAATAACTTCATCTTTTCACTTCAAACTCAAATTGATAATTGAAAATATACCTGGAAAGTGGTTTTAGAAAGCCAAGGTTAGACTCAACAAAGTGAAAGATCAAGAGGACTGAATGATTTGTAAGTGGATGTGTCCACTTACAAACAGGTAGTTGATGAATAGGTCTTAAAATTACTTAACTTCTTTATTTTCTTCTTTAAAGTCTGCCTATTACATTCCGGAATCAAATTGTTTCTCAAGATGATGTGTTACCTTATTTCCTTGTTCTCTAAATTTGTTCCTTACTAAATCTGTGATCTACCAAGTGCTGAGAAGTTCTCTTCCACATGTCATTACTGAATAAACTTTTAGTCTTATTTATTGTGTCTGTTACACCAATTTATTTACCGTAATTACATTACAAAGTGAATTCTCAAAATTCAGATATCACCTCCCTAAATCATAAATTTTAATATTTCAGCATTTTATAAACCAAAATGGTTAGTGTTGGGCACACACTAGCACAATGGGAGTGGTTAGTGTTGAGCACACAATAGCACAATGGGTATCTTAAGTGCTTAGGCTATGTTAGGTTGAGGTGGTTACCCATGTCAGGGAGGGTAAACCGTGACAGTTAACACACTTGGGTTTAGGGAGGTGCTCTCCGGCAAGATGCTTGGGGGTCTGGTCAGTCACTCGCCTCACTGCACTTGACTGAATCTCACGAGTGATAATTATACGTAAAGAGTCATAGCAAGCTTGATTTTTTAGATAAAAAGGTGGGGTTTGTTGCATTAGCATTGTGAATAAATAATCTGCAAACAGTTTTATATGAGTACAGCCAACCCTCACTTTACGCTGTCCCACATTCCGCGTTTCCACGTTTACCCAGTACCCTGCCAGGTACCCTGCCAGAACCCGGGATGCTCACATTCCGCGGTGCGTGTACCCCTTACGCGGGTGAAGAATAATTTTTTATTTAGCTCATAAAATTCATACAAATTATCCGGCCAGAATATAATTTACATTGCTGGAATTCTTACAATTTGATGATCATTTTGAATATAAGCATCATAGATTTTGCATTAGACATACAAATTTTAGATCTAATGCAAGTATTTTGTTTACTCAGAGCAAATATGCTATTTTTTGTGCAAAATATATGAAGTGTATATTCAAAATATTCCTGGTCTTGCAAGGAATCCAGCAATGTCAATTATATTATCCTAACTTTAGTCTGAGGTATTATTTATTTCTAAAAGTTAAAATCTAGTTTTTTCACCCAACATTTCTATGGTAGGGAGGGAAGGTGGGGGGTGGGGGGGAGGGTTGGGACCGACCAACCATCTGGCTCGGTTGGAAGAGGGGGGGAGGTAAGGTGGGGTACTTTGATTGACAGATAGTGTCATGAAGAATATTTTTTTTTTTTATTAACTGAAGATATTTGTTTTAGCTCATAAAATTCATACAAATTACCCGGCCAGAATATAATTTACATTGCTGGAATTCTTACAATTTGATGATCATTTTGAATATAAACATCATAGATTTTGTATTAGACATACAAATTTTAGATCTAATGTAAGTATTTTGTTTACTCTGAGTAAATATGTTATCGTTTGTGCAAAATATATGACATTTATATTCAAAATATTCCTGGTCTTACAAGGAATCCAGCAATGTCAATTATATTATCCTAACTTTAGTTTGAGGTATTATTTATTACTATACCTTAAAATCTAGTGGTTTTCCCCATAAAATTTCTCAAGAGAGGGAAGAGCCAGCGAGTGTAGTGTGAGAAGAGGGGGAGGGAGTTGAGTCCATTATTTGAATGGACATTAACTTGGTGACTGTATTTCTCTATTTCCCTTAAATATTAATTGTGTGCATGTACCATCAAAAAATTAAGATGTTATTTTTACTAGAACATAGGTATTGTGTCGGAAAAAGTGGAGTTTGGGGGTCAGCTGGTCTCTATTTCAATTAATCCCATATGTTATGTTGTTCACTTTACGCGTTTCTCACTTTCCGCGGTACCCTGTGGGTTGAATTAACCGCGTAAAGTGAGGGTTGACTGGAATCACAAAAAAAATTATATATGTAAGCGCAAGTAAAACACACATTTTTTGTTTATGCTTAATGAAAATGTTTATACATCACTTTATACCTTTGTTATTTCATGTGATTGCAATATGAATCTTTTCCATTATATAGTGTACACACTGTAGTATTTAGAAGAAAAAAATAGTTACACAGGTCTGCCACTGATTTTCTGGCACCCTTGGTTCCAAAGCTTTGCCAGATTATCCGTTTTGCTGGACCAACCGAGGTCAGGTAATAATAAGTCAAGAATACACCTCTGACCCACTAATTATACACCTCCTGTGTCTTTAAAGCACCATGGACTGCTAGAAATTTAAATTAAACAAATATTAAATGTAAATTTGTGGAATCTGAATGGAAGGAGTAGATTGTGGGGAGACAATGTGACTAATCCACGAGGAGCCATGTTCGAGTTTGTGGTAAAGAATCTGGATCTCCACATCATGAACACCGGTGCCCCAAACCATTTCCTTGTGCAGACAAGAACCCACTCCATCTTAGGCCTCTCCTTGTGCTCTGCAGCAGTAGGCATTGATTTTTTGTGGTAAATCTGGGATGATCTATGTGGGAGTGATCACTTCCCAGTCATCCTTTGCACACCTGATGTGATGGGCCCTAACCATCTTCCTTGCTGGTGTCTAGACAGGGCTGACTGGGGCCATTTCAAACTCCTAGCTGAGGTAGAGAGGTGGAATAATTCCAGACAACAGGTGCAGCAATGGAATACTTTACCTTGACACTCCTTTATGCTGGTGAACAAACCATCCCCAAGACTTCTGTTTTTTTTAAAGGTGGTCTAAAGAGTGCAGAGTGGCCATAGTGGCCAGAAAGAGGGCCTGGTGTCATTACAGGCATCATCCTTTTCGATATATTATTTTCTGGAATTCAAGCGAGAAAGGGCTCATGCTTATAAAATATTAAAGGAGGCATGACTTAAGTCTTGGGCAGAGTTTCTGAATACAATAAACACTTGCACTTCATGTCACAAGTGTGGAAGAGTGAGAAGGATTGCTGGGAAGCACTCTCCCAGCGCACCCCATGTCATGACAATAGATGGTGGTGTGACATTAGTCAAGAGGTAGCGAATGTGTTTGCCAGGGCATTTGCCAATGTTTCACAGAAAGGTGGTCAATCAGCCTCCTTGCTCCAGCAACAAGAGGCATTTGAGCGGCAAGGTCTTGACTTCTCATCCTGCGGAGGAGAGGCCGACAATGCAATATTTAGTAGGAAAAATATTATTCTACCCGTTACACTGTAAGGGCGAGGGGGGTTACAACAACCAAACAAGCTGTCACCAATGTAACGGCGGCAGTTTCTCTCTACTCATACTCTGCCTTATGTTTTACTCTTACTTCTCTTATCTTAGTTCTTATATTGTTCTTTCTACTTACTTCAATGGTTACTGCATAACCTTAATTCTTTTTGGTATTATGTCGAGGGTCTAAGGCACATGGGTATTGTAATTCTAACATCAGGGTCACTTGGACGGAAATAAAGGTAACTACTACGGGGAAAATGAATACTCCTAAAATACTCTAAGAACAAGTTTATTAATATGAAATCAAAGGGAAAAAGAGATATTAATAATATATAACTACCAGGCTCAACTCCTGGGCTTATTGCAGACTCAGTATTTCTTCTTTACTTATTTTCTTATTTTTACTCAACAGCAATGACTCAGATATTACACTCTTACTGCACACAACCTTACTGGTGTCACATTACATTACCTAGGAGGACCAGTTCCTTGGCCCTACTCACAATACATTGCTACATGGCAACTCCTTGCAGATTACTTTACTTCTCACACCTACTGGTGGTACGTGGCATTATAGTACAGTTACAAAACTTTACTCATAGTCCCAAGTGGACAACTTTACTTCTCACCCATTACTAGGTACTTCTCATTACATCCAGTTAAGACAACCTTACTTAAGATACTCCACAGGGTGTTGGTAGTGCATAGGAGATGCACTCACACACAACACGTTAATACTGATACCAACAAATACATGGGTCCACTACCCAACATGGGGTAATGACTGTATTAACAAACACATACAACACCACTGTGGACCATAACTCCAAGGCATGTCCCAGGGCATAACATTGGCGCCTCTTAACAACTGACGACTGCTGTTGTGGTCGGTTACACTCCGACACGAGGCGGGTTTGGCGCCCTCGGCCCACGAGGTGGACCTGCCGTCTCAATCATGTTGAATCAACGACATCGTCGATATATTGCTCCCTGCTGGGAATCTACTGGCTCCGGGGCAGTCGTGGGGTGATTCGAGAACCACAAATTGGATCTGGGGACAGACGGGAGATGACGTGACGGGAGGGACGGAGGCAAGGGACTGGGAAGCATGATGACAACACAATCACAACAAATCACTCACCTGGAAATTACAGCCAACATTTACTTTACATTACTTCTTACTGGGTGAATGACAATTCAACTGTTAATGCATGAACACTGATAATTCACTACAATGACTAAATCAAACTGAATGGCTAGGGAACACAGAACATACCTGGGGACAGACGGGAGATGACGTGACGGGGGACGTCTCTCTTCCCGGTCCCGTGGTATATATACCCCTGAGTTGCCAGCTATCGCTACTCACGCAATGACAGGAATTACAAACCAACTCAACTGTTACTCATTCAAAGATGACCCTCAGTTGACAAAGGTCTGGCGAATTACTAAAGTTGATTTACACAGACTAATTCAAGATTGAGCCTTTCAGGAGAGAATGGTATAACAACACAGTGACAACTGTGTTCGAAGGCGGGACTTACTGGGAGGGATCATGACTGTAAACATCGATGGGGAAAAACATGTCTTCTCTTAGGAATAGCTAACCCACTCATGTTTTGTGGTCGTGGAGTTTAATAAGAATCATTAGTTAAAACAGACTAGCAATCAATGTGACCATGACAACAAGGCGTCCCCGTAACTCTCCACTAGCTGGAATGGATTTTGAGCCTTCCAAGGAAAACTCTCTCCATTCTGGGACTGGAAATGAGTTTCCAAAGATGAATCATGCATATTTTCCAGAAAAATTCTGAGAAAATCATTCCAAACCTCTGTTCCAGGCATGGGAAAAAATTTCCAGGAGTTCAGAGAGATTGCATCATGTCCCAACGTGTCCCCTCGTGCTTGGTGCATGGGTGGGCTAGCTCCTTGTTTAAATTAGGCTGGAGGCTAATATGCTTACCCGGTAGTTCATATTCTGCTGACATTGTACTGTAAAAGGTTGATCCCTCACTC